ACTCAGGGAGGAAGCCTGGGCTGGGATTCGGTTAGAGTCTGTCATCTCAGCTTCACACATGCAGGTAGTGTATTGATTCTCTTGTCTCTCTTGGCTCAGTGGGCAAGAAACAGCAGTCTTGCATCAGTGAAGCAGAGTTTGTGCTGTATGAACTGTCCAGACAGGGATGCTGGCTAGAGAAGGGAGTCCTCCTCTGTCAGGCACCCAAGGCAGAAGCTGCCAGTGGGTTGCTAGAGCCCTCCCACCTGCTCAGCCTGACTTGCTCTGTGGGTTCTACTGACCATGGCCACCGGAAGCTGGGAGATTCTTGATCCTGGAATGGGTGATTGTGCAGTGCAGAGTGACACAGGGAAGGAGTGGGGCTTGTGGTAGAGACATATGTTATGGTTGGAAGTGGACAGAACCAGCCTTGGCGCAGGACCTGGGCCTTCTTGCAACAGTTGGAATCTTTGTTCCTAAATGCGACGGTCCCTGGCACATATTTGTTTCTTCTGGCCCTTTACGTGGAACAGTGACTGCTGCCAGGAACTAAGCATCCTGTCCTGTCCCAGTGAGGTGACTTTACCATTACCAGAGCCCTGCCCTTGGCAGTTAAGTGCCTGCAGCCCTACTCCTCACCATGCTGTGCAGTGAGCAGGGTGATTGGGATAGACCCCTGACTCCTGTCTGAGGTTTCTGTTTGGGTGGGACTGGGCTGTTGGAATAGTTTTCTTCTTCAAACAGCTGGCCTTGTATTATGGTTTATATATAAAAAAATTCCCCAAAAGGTCTGATGAGTTTGAAAGCTGATTGGATTGTTTGGATCCAGCTGTTGATAAGTTCACTATCTGAAAATGCTGTGAGGTTGGTCATGGGCTGGAAAAGTATGTTCTGTCTGCAGCTTCCCTCATCTTTCTCTGTGTCCTGGCTGCCATGGCTTGAGGACATTTTTTCCCACCATGCCACTGTGCCATCCTGTATTTACCTTGGAGCTAGCAGACTGGATTGAAACTGTGAGGCAAAGTAACCCTTCTCACCCTTTAAGTTATGGGTGTTGAATATTTCATCCCATTGATGTAAATGTGAATGACAGCAGATAATTTTATAGAAGTTTAAAATGCAGACTCTCAAAACCACAAGTTGTCTTCTGAACCCTGGTCTTCATTGTGATGGCACTAAATTCGAAAATTTCCAAAAATTTCCCTCCATTTCCCATCATTAGAGGATGTTTATAAAGACTTCAAAAATCTGAAGAAAGATGGAATGTGGGCCAGGGATTTAGCTCAGTGGCACCATGACTGCCTTGCAAGCACAAGGTCCTGAGTTCAATTCCCTGTACAAAAGAAAGGAAAATCTGAAGAAAGGTTTAATGTTACTGTGATGAGGTTCAGTTGGAGGACACCTATAAAGCATGCGTAAACTCCTTGATTTAAGCAACTCGATGTATCATACATACATACATAGTCCTCACATAGTTTAGAATGCAAAGAAAATGGGAGAGAAAGTTATCGACTTACAGAAGGGAAGATGCCAGTAATCCTGCAAAAATCAACTTGCAGAAGGAGCTGCCTGTTCAACCCACACTGAGAGTTTTTTTATTATTAATTGTTTATTGGTACATTTTGGGTGTACATAAAGACCACATTCATCATAGGGATTTTGTACCTGTACATGATATATCTTGGTTCTTATTTTTTCCTATTCCTCTTCCTTCTCCTCAACACCTCCACCTCTCCTTATTTACAAAAGCTTTGTTTCCGTTTTTTCCTTCTTTTCTCATTTTTTTCTTTTCCCTCCTCCTCTTTCCCCTACGCCCCTCTCTAGTTCTTCTTCCCCTTGAACATTTTCTTCCCATTTCACAATATCTGTTATACATTTTGGTTCGCATTTACACTTTCAGTTTTGCACACCAGAGAAACAATGTGGTATTTATACATGTGTGTCTTACTTATTTCACTTAAGAATGTGATCTCAAGGTGCATCCATTTAGCTATAAATGTCTCAAGTTTATCTTTCTTTATGGCTGAGTAGTACTCCCATTGTATAAGTAAACTACATCTTCTTTATCCAGTAACCAGTTGATGGGCATTTGGGTTGTTTCCAAGATTTAGCTGTTACAAAGGGTGCCTTTATAAATACGGGTGTGCATATATCACTGTGGTATGATGCTTTTAATTCTTTCAAGAAGATACCAAGAAGGGGAATAGCAGGGTCAACTAGAACCTCTAATTTTAGTTTTTTGAGGAATCTCCACACTGATTTTCACAGTGGTTGCACCAGTCTATACTCCCACTAACAGTCCAAAAGGGTTCATTTTTCCCCCACAACCCCACCAAGATTTGTTATTGGTTGATATCTTGATAACAGCCATTCTTTCGGGAGTGAGATGGAGTTTCAGTGTTGTTTTCATGTACATCTCATGAATGACCAGTGATGTTGAACATTTTTTCATATGTTCATTTGCTGTTTCTGCTTCTTTATCTGAGAATTGTCTATTCATTTCAGATGCCCATTTTTTGGATTGGGTCTTTAAATTTGGGGGGTCTGTTTTTTTTGAGCTCTTTATGTACACATTGAGAATTTCTGTAAGACATTCCCATGTCCATGTGACTTGGGTATCAGTGGAAAGAGAAGAATTCCATTTCTCACTTAAATGCTATCATCCCTGGATGGCTTGTAGTCTTCTTTTCAATGGCATGCTGAATGAGTTAGGACTTTGAGTGAAAGCCTTATTACAGAATAAGTAAAGCCCCAAATGTAGGTCTGCAGGCAAATCCAAGGTAAGGTATAAAAGGGTTTCTGTGTGTAGAGAGGAGCAAAGATGAGTAGATACAATGTGGGAAACTAGGGCATGATGGATGGTGGCCAAATCAACTCTTGAACTAGTAGTTTTTCTCTGAGAACCCTCTTAGCGTGACATTAAAGAAAGGTTTGTATCCTGACTCAGTGTGAAAGTGGCTCAAAGATTACAGACTTGATAGAAAGTAAGAAATATAGGGAAAGTTAGCATTTATGAGGCAAAATTGGGAATTTTGTGTTTGTTGCTGGTTAAAAACATGAGCTGACAGCATCATCTAAGTGTAGTAGGGAGGATGCTACTCAGTCCAGAAAAGAACACAGGGCATTTCTTGTGGTACCAGGGATTGAACTTGGGACCTTCACTCTGAAGTACACACAGCCCTCTTACATCGTTATTATTGTTGTTATTTTAAATGATGACACTGGATGTCCCTGCATTGCCTGGGCTGAACTTGAACTTGTGATCCTCTTGTATCACCTCCAAGAGCTGTGTGATCACAGGTGTGGATCACCAAGCTAGATAGGAAGATCACAGTACCTGGTTAAGGTAAATATCACCAACTCTGTGTTGAAGTTATACATTTGTGTCCACTGAGAATGCATGAGACATCCTTGAACTCTTCTACCCTAAATAAGTGTTTGTAAATTTGAAATTACTTGTATGTGTTGTATATTTTTTTTGAAAAGTGACCCGCCCATTCTGAAACTGGGCATCTCAGACTGTCTTAATTTCCTGAGCAGTAGTAAAGTATATTCTTTCTTACCATACGCCATTCTGAGGGATTATTCATTTTTTTTTGATGGGGTGACTTGCCTTGCCACCCCTTGATAACATCAAGACGGTGGGTGACTTATGTTGAAACACAACAGTTCAGTACGTGCTTTGTCAACCTGCACTGGGAGCAGTGTCCTAGGACTGGGCTCTGCAACTGTCTGAACTATGGTAGCTCTGGGGATGTACTAAAATTTGGACCACAGTTTTCTGGTGAATAATTGCTTGGTGCTCAGCAAACGACACCCATTTGAGTTTGAAAGGGGAATTGTGAAAAGCTGAAGGTGAACTTTCCCTGACAGCGGGAGTGTAGATCTCTGCTCAGATTTGACACTGTGTACCAGAGATCAGATTCACCCTGTGAGGTTGGCTAAGCAGGTTGGGAGTGAGCCCCAGACTGAACTTCCCTGACTTCTATGTTTCCCTGCATCACTCCCTGGGAGGGAACCTCCTGGGCTTGCATGGGCAGCACCAGTGGTGTGTTAAGCTCAGGAGTCTCTTTAACCTTCTGAGTGTGAGTTCCCTTGTGAACTGCAGTGAAGCAGGCTTCTTCCCTCACCTGCTTCTGTTTTGATTCTTTTGCAGCAAGTTGTTTATATAAAGTAGAAATTATCTCAAGGGTAAAAAGTTGATTTTCATGATTTAACCATAAGATTGTTGAAAATTGAGCAGAGAGTTGATCACTTCTGAAGAAATAATGAAAAACTTAGAAGCAAATGATTTGTTTTACATTCATCCTAAATGTGTATAAGATCCATAGACTCATGATGCAGGTCAACAAATCAACTGAAGTTTCTCTTAGTGCATCTCTGATTTCATCTAAGTCTCCCTAAGAGGTCAAAGGATGGAGTTTTGGGAAGCTCTTTGTACCTTAACAATCTTCAAGTTTAGGGTTACATGGCCTCAAGCCTTTGGAATTTTGTGTAAGTTAATGATTATTGTTAATTTAGCATTATTGGCAGGGTGTGGTGGTACATGCCTGTAATCCCAGCACTTAGGAGGCTGAGGCATAAGGACTGTTGAGTTCAAGGCCAGCCTGGGCTACATAGTGAGTTCTAGGCCAGGCTGGGGAGAGGGGTTTGTAGGCAGGAAAAGAATAAAATGAGGGCCCTATTAGGCTTTCTGGCTAATTCTGTCTAGAAAGTGAAAACTTTGCCAGAGGGAGCAATTAACAAAATGAGAGAGCTGATAAGCAGAGCAAGGAGGAAGCCAGGCAGGTGCTGTAGCTGCCCCTCCCCACCTTCAGTAAAATGCTAAGGAGACAAGGGGCAGCCACTTAAAAGAAAGCTCTTATTTAGTATATAAAAATGCCCACACCTATGCATCTGTATACATAATTATTATTCCCACTCTAGTGTCACTATTCTTGCACTAGATAAATATACATCCCTTTATTTAATCACTCACTGGACCTTGTATGTAAGGTCCCTCCTAACCAACCTCTAAGTTCCAGAACTAAAGCCCTGACAGGGCAAGCGAAAATCAAATAAAGCCCACTTGGGAATGTGCACCTAGGCAATGGTGGCTGGGTTAGGGGCCGGGCCCATCTATGACAGCCCACAGAACCAGTGAGGTTTTGGCAAGTTCCAGGTATCAAGCTGGGAGGGAGCATTTTTATCACTTGATAAAAGGAAGCCGAGGACAAAGGCCCACAGAGTTTCCATCTTCCGGGGGCTCCTTACCTCTCACAGGGGAGCTGTTTGTCTTCTGATTTTTCTTCCTTACACATAGAGTGTTTTCCCTTTTAAACTTCGTTTCATTAATTGGTTACTGATGTGGAGTTTACAGTCCCAGTTGGCTGTAGAGCTGCGGTGTGATGCACACTCCTGACATGTCATGTTGAATGTTGACCCTGGGCCTCACTGTGTAACCCAGGCTGAGCTTGAAGCTCTTATCCTCCTGCCTCAGCCTCCCAGAGAGATGTAATCACAGGTGTAGGCCACCAAGCATGACGATATACCATGATCACAGTGTGTGGTTAAATTAAACGCCCTCAATTTTTTGTTTCTATACCAAGGATGCTGTCATTTTTTCCATTGTGAGTGTGTGGGTGCCATTCTGAAAGCCGTCCTTGGAACCTTCTTGCCCTAGATAAGTGACTCTGAATTTGAGATTAGTTGCATATGTAGTACAATTTTATTTAAATGGAGGAGAGAATCAAAGAGTGTCATAATCTTTCAATCGGTAGAAATGCCCATCCCTTTTTATCATGAGCCACTTTGAGGCAATATATTCATTTCTGTTGATGGAGTGACTCAGTGTGTCGCCTGGATAACCTCAGGATGATGACTCATAATGAAAAACAGCATCACCTGCTTTGGACACCAATCTTTACTTGAAACAGTGCATTAGAGCAGCACATTGAATTTGTCAAAAGTTTTGGTCACTCTGCATGGTGTGTTAATTGAGGGCCCATGTTTGTTTTTTTTTTAGAGAATTGCTTAGAGCTCAGCAAACAATACACATTTGAATTCAAAAGAAATCCTGGGGAAAGACAAAGGTGAGCCTTCAGCTGATTGTGGGAAATGTTTCTCTCTGTTCAGAATTGAGGGTGAGGACATGAAATTCACCCTGAGCAGGTGGCTAAGTAGGATGTGAGGAAGCCCCATCCTTGAATTTCTTGACTTCTCATGCTTCTCTGTCTCTCCACCTGTGATTGAGCTGTCCTGGCCTGCAGGGGCACAGTGCGTTGTGTATAACCTCAGGAGTGTGTTCAACCTTCTGAGTGTGGGTGCTTTTGTGAACTGCAATGAAGCAGGTTTCTTCCCTAACCAGCTTCTCTTTTGCTTGTTTTGCAGAGTTGCTTGTATAAAATACAAGTTACCTCAAGGATTTAAGAGTTGATTTTCATGATTTACCCATAAGATTGTGATTTTCCTAGTTAAAAATGGAGTGGAGAATCGATTCTCTCTGAAAAGGTCCATAGAAATTTAGAGGTAAATTATTTGTTTTGCATTTACCATAAAATGTGCCTAAAGATCCATAGAATCATGATGCACCTAATGCTTCCTCCCAGTGCAGCTCTCTGATTTCCTCTAGCTACCCCCAAAGTGCCCACAGGATGGACTTTTTGGTAGCTTTTTTTTAACTTAAGAGTCTCATTAATCAAGATGTTATGTGGCTTCAAGTATTTGGAATTTTGTATAATTTAATAATTTAGGTTACTATATCATTATTATTATGTTGAAACGATTATCATTTCTTTGCCTCAACTTATTCCCCGTAGGACTGTCGAAAAATTGACATTGCAGCCACTTCATTCCCTTATTCCATTTCCTGGGGGCTTGGGTTATTTCAAGTTAGTTTTAGTTTTTAAATTTTTGATGTGATTAAAAATATTACTTTTTTTCTTCAAGTGATAATTCAAATTTTTGAAAGAATTAAAAAAAAGTCAGCATGCAAATAATGAAAAAATTCAAAATTTGTACAAAATTTTTATATAAACTTTAATATTTTATAGATAAGTGGTTTATTGTGCGTTGCCAACACATGGAATAGTTTAATTTACTTATATTTGTCCGTGTAATATATTTTAGTATATTTTTGCAGTTTTATCTTGTACTTTTTAGATCTAGTGTTGAACCTTCCATACATGGGCTTTTTAATGTTTGTAAAATTGAGTCTGTGTGAGCGCTGCCTATAGTGTAAGGTTTACAATTTCCACTTCACTTCTTTATCCCTGATACATAATCACGTGGCATATTTTTGTGTATTAAGCTAGGGATATACTGTGGTACAATATTTTAGTAATTCTATTAGGTTTTTGTTGATACTTCAATTTTTCCAATGCAAATAAAGACAATTTTATGTGTTCCACCTTAATCTCTGCCTATTACATTTTTTTTTTTTTTTTGGTACCGGGATCGATCGAACTCAGGTCCTTGCTCTTGCACAGCAGGCAGTGAAACCGCTGAGCTAAATCCCTGGCCCTGCCTATTACTTTTTGATTTTTCTTGTGTTTTGTATGCATCCACTGACATGATTTTATGATTTTTGTTCTCTGAATTTTATTGTAATGGATTAGATTATTTTAAAATGCCTTTGATAGTTTTAATAACTTCTCTGTTGTCAAAATCTACATGAACAATGAGGAATGAAATTTCCTTTTTATCTGTGGAGTGATTTTCATTTCATGTTGCTGTTATTTCTCTAATTTTCTGATGCTGTGATCTTTATTCTTTTCTGATATGTGTATTTCTTGATTTTAATTTTGTTTGAAGCACCTATTTCTGGACCCATGCAATGATAATATGCCATACATTCATTTTAAAACATTATGATACCCTTAATACTTAATCAGGCCTTCCATCCAAAGCATATATTCTTTAAAAATTTTTGCTTTAATCTCTAATTCTTAAGAGTATTTTAAATGTAGTTCTGCTGTAAATTTCATTTTAATAGGTGTGAAAGCCTACTTTGCATGATTTCCATTACATTAAACACATTAAAGTTGTTTCCTCTTTTTTATAACCTTGGTTCATACTTCTTTGCAGTATGTAATAATTACATTCATTGTAGGGAGTGGGTACATGTCCATAACACATTTCAGTTTTGCCCCCTAGACATTAATTCTTTCTTGTTGCTTTAAACTTGGTCTATTTAGGTGAATATTTCTCGTGATTTTTGAAAAGACTGCGTAGTGTGTAGTTAATTTGATGGAGTATTATGGAATATCCAGTCCATCCCTGTGAAGCATGATGTTGTTAAATTTAACTGTTCCATTACACATTTTTCTGCCTTCTTCAGCTATCAACAGATAGAGTTGTTTTTAAATCTTCAGACATAGTTGTGAATCAGTAATTTTTTTCTTCACATTCATGCTTTGCCTCATGTAGTTTGATACTGTATATATATTGAGGACTGTTCTTTTTAGAGAACTGCTTTTTATATCCTTATCTAATCACTGTAATCATTATTTACTTTGAGGTACAAATTGAATATTGTCAAATCTGGCTTCTGAAGATTGTGTTGAATCAATGATAGACTAGTGTGACTTTTTGCATAGCTTGCTATTTAATTTGTCCTCATCAGTTTCACTGTAACAACCACTCCTGTCCAGGTGTGCATAGCATTGGCACCATAACCCAGATGTCTAGACATTGATCAGCTCTGATATCTGTTCTCTTTATCTGGCAATCTAACCTTTTCTCTTGATGGGCAATATAGAGTTTGACCACTGCTTGCTGGCAGTCTGTGGATCTCCTGTTTGCAACCGTGCTGCTTTGCTTATTGCTGGCCAGTGTGTGATGTCTCATCTTGTTATATATGAATCCAGACAATCAGCTATATTAATGTGTACTTTCTTAATGGTAATTTAGTGTTTAAATATTTTGTAATACATTTTATTTTAAAAATTGTTCTTCTGATTTTAAAAAGAATAACAATGTAAATATCCTGGGAATATTCAGAATGTTTCATCATTGGACCTTGGGCAATCGTTGAGAGTATGCAGGTGATTGATACCCTACTTGACTCCAACCTCTCCTGCCCCATGTATGCTTACGCTCCCACTTTGGTGGCTTTTCCCAAGTTTACCATGTGGAATTTCCCATGATGAACAGTGTTCTTTTAATTTCTTCCCTTGGAATTTTGAATAAGTGAGTACTATAGAAATTGCAAAGAGAAATATTTTTACTTTGTTTTGTTTCACTATTTATTGTTCACAAGTGCTGATATGTGAATCGAGGGCAGAGCATGTTCTCATCCATTCCATTGGTCATGTGGTTTAGGATTTTTCAAGAGTAGAGTACTTGAAAGGAATCCCATCTATCTCTAGGAATAGTAGCACAGTGTACTCTCTGGACATTGCAAACAAGTCACTGGTCAACTCCAAAGTAAAGGAAATGAGTGTAGAGTGTATCACATGAGTCTCCATTCTTGTATAAGTCTACTTTCTTATTATGTTCTTCCACACTTCTTTTTTGGTGATTTTCTCAAAAAGAGATTTGGTTCTTGTTTTCTATTCAGTGATTTTTCTTGGGTTAGATATGTCATAGTCAGTTTTTAAAGATTTGTATTTATTGCTCTTTACCCCCTGTATAACAACTTTATACTGCATACACAGGAAATATTTTCTTGTCTTATTTCCCATGATATTCAGTATTTCAATTTATCCTTCTAATTCTGGTGCATACTTGATTTTCTTCTGAGAAAACACTATTTCACTATGAATTCTGGAGGCATTCAAGTTTATCTTTCCCTTTTCAATGTATAACTAAATTATTATACATAGAAGAGTATACAGGATTCCAAATACATAAATGTTTCTCCTTGAACATAAATGAAATGGATTCTGTTTTACTCCAGACACATGTAACACCAGCTCTATCATCAATTAGTACTCTGTATACATGTGGACCCAGTGAAGACTGTCTTCCTTTTCTGAGATGCATTTGCCATTCACGCACTAATAGTACAGTCTCAGGAAAGGTGGAATTTGAATCTTTCATAGTATATTATGTAAGCCATCAACTTCCTTGCTTGGAAGGTATTGACTGTTGTTAAAATTATACTTTACAGCTATAATTTTTTTTAGCCAATCAAAGATGTCATTTGTAAATGACACAATTTTTTTGAAGTTTTCCTTTTTTGGGAGGAGTTTGAGGCAGGGTCTCACTTTGTATTTCAGACTTGCCCTAACTTAGTATGTAGTCCAAGGTATCCTTGAACTCATGGCAATCCTCCTGCACCAGCCTCTCCTGTGTTGGGATTACAGGCATGTACCACCACACCTGGCTGAAGTTTCCTTTTGTGCCTAATTATTTTTTGATATATTGGTTTTCAATGCATAAAATACATTTTATTCATCTTCTTCCCCTCATTACTCTCCTGTACTCTTCTGGAATGTCTTATGCAAGTACATGGTGACCATTTAGTGACACCAACTTAAAAGATAATATGCCGCCTTTTCCCTATTTTCCTTGTTCATAGACTTTTTCCAATAAAACTTTTCCATTAACATTTTAATGATTTTTCACAAGCCTTATTTGATGCTCAATTACGTGTTTTTTATATGAAACAGAATTCAAGTTTCAAAATGCTACCTAAGTATAAAGAAGGACTCCATGTCATAAATAATACGATTTGACAGGAGACATTACCTATGGTCTATCAAAACCATTTATTAGGTATTCATCTGCCCCAGTGTTTTATGGATGGTGATCTTGTCAGTGGTCGCTATGAGCTCTGCTTTAGAGACAATGCACAGATATCCTTGCAGTGACCCAGCAGAAGAACCAGTGCTCCTATTCTGCTGTTGCTTTACCACTGAGTAGCAGTTTAGCATCAGAACTGCTGTATGCCTACACATGGACTTGATGACCAAGACATAGAGTTAGTTGTTGAAGGATTCAGGATTCAGCCTCATTTAGCTTTTTCTTTGAGTCAGTATCACTGTGTAGTGCAGGCTGACCTTGAGCTCACTGTGTAACCCAGGCTGCCTTCAAATTCATGGCAGTCCTCCTACCTCAGCCACCTGAATGCAATAATTCCAGATGTAGACCACCACACTTGTCTCTCAATTCAAGTTTTTATGAGAGGATTTGAGATATCCCAGACTGTCAGTCTCACCCTTCCTTCAAAAGATATATGTATGATCATTTAGGAGGCCGTGACCTTTCAGGATGTGGCTGTGAACTTCACCACGGAAGAGTGGGCTTTGCTGAGTCCATCCCAAAAGAAGCTCTACAGAGATGTGATGGGGGAAACATTTATGAACATGGCTGCTATAGGTAAGATGACATCATTTTCTCATTTATATGTTTGGAGAACATTGTTTCTTGCTCTTTGGTGCAAAGAGTGTGAAAACATTTTGAAGAATATTGCAGGTCTGGTTCCATTACAAAATGCATCTAACTGGAATCTACTTATGTTTATGTAATAAAAAAATGATTGCTTATATTTTTATGTTTACAATTCAGGAAGAACCTGGGATAACCAGGAAGCTGAAGAAGAGTATAAAAAGTACCAGAGAAATCTAAGGTAATTTGCACTCAGAAGAAAAGGGTCTATGTATGAGTGGAAATATGACAACAAGGAAACAAGGCCCCGTTCAAATTTAATTTCAGAAATATTCTCCAAAGGTGTATACAGCTTGAGTACATATAATCTGACAATTAAATACAGAAATATTCCAATATAGGAAACTGAGTTGGTACTGATGTCATGCAACAAGTGACACTATTTGATGGATATTAGTATAAAAAATGTTCTTTCATGGTCAACATCATGAAAATATGTGACATTGCATTTAGGTATTATGTGAAGGTGTATATACAAAGACTAAATTTTGAGTTTTGACATGAACCCACCTTCAGGATATTGATTTATGTATACATCTGAATATGAGACATTCAGTATCTTAAAAAAATGCTAACCATGAAGCAGTATTCAGAGTGCATGAGTGCTACTGTTGTAATAGGTGTTTTCAAGGCATCCTCCAGAGAATTGCACCCATTCAGATTTTTTAATTCTTAGAAGTCTCTCTTCGACATTGTTGGTGGGAATGTTAAGTACAGCCACTGTGATAGTATACAGATGTCTCAACACAAAGATGGCATTTCCATTTGATCCAGGCATACCTCTCCTGGGTATAATCACAAGAGTTAAAATCATCATATTCTGCTGACACAGGAATGACCATATTCAAAGCAGGACATTATATAACAGCTAAGCCTTGGAATCAGCCTTGATGTCCATCGTTGGATGCATGGACAAAGAAAATGTTTGATAGACGCAGCGTGATGATGCATTTTTATAAACGCAGCACTGGGAAGCAGATTCAGCAGGATGGCAAGTTGAAGCTCACCCCGAACAACTTAATCATCAATAAGAATCTCTCTCAAAATAAGAAATAAAAAGAGCTGGAGTTGTAATTCAGTACTAAGGCCTGGGTTTAATTCCCAGCACTGAAAAGAAAAAAAGAAAATGTGCTGTATCATCAGCCACAAAGATGAATGATAGCATGTCATTTGCCAAAAGAAATGGGTTGGTCTACAACCCATAATGTTAAGTGAAATAAGTCAGATACACAATGTGAAATAACACACAGTTTCTCTTATATGAGAAAACAAAATACAAATTGAGGAGGAAAATAAAGGAGAGGTGATAGAAAAAGGAAAGCCTGGCTTTGGGGAAATGAGAAAGACAAGCAGAGTAAGGAGAGAAGGGGAGAGAAATGGGGGAAAGGTAACAGAAGTGATCAATATATATTATACCCATATACTAACCTCCCAGAATTAAACTAAACCTTACGCATGGCAAAATACTCCAATTTTAAAATTCCCAAATGCATACCACTCTTTGGGAACAGCCATTTTGAAGGTATCCTCCAGGACATTCATTTAAGTCACTGTCACTATTTCTCAGGAGGCAAGCACTTGTTCTGGTAAACCATTAATATGGAGATCCGTTTTATTCTAACTGGTTTTTTTTTTCCTTCACAGAAATGAACACGTAGAGAAATGCTATCAGTGTAAAGCTTGGAATCAACATGAAGAAATATTCCTTCAGACTCCAGATGCTAATGTGGACATGAAACGAGCTGGTTCAAAGCCAGCTGAAAGTCTTGCTTGTAGAAAGCTCCCGATTGGGCATTTGTCACTAAATGTGCCCATCATGGCTCACACTGGACTGAAGCCATCTGAGTATTTGGGCTTTGAAGAGGAGCTGTATAAGAGTGATGAAAATGGAAAAACCTGTGGTGATTTCCAGTCCTTTCAGAAGCACGCAAGGACAAAGGGTGGAGAGAAACCATATGAATGTAATCAGAGTGGGAAATCCTGGTCTGATCTTGAAAGAACTCACCTTAGACAGAAGACCTTTGTATGTAAGCAAAACTTGAAAGCCTGCAGCATACCCAGTGATGTTCAGATCCATGAAAGAAATCACAGTGAGGGGAATCAATATGTAAGTGAACAGTATGAGAAAGGATTTATTTTGTCCCACTGTATTCAAGTACCTGAAGGAAGGCATGCTGGAGAGAGGCCCTGTTTATCTAAGGAATGTGGGAAAACATTTGGTCATAGTAATTCCATTCACAGACATGTAGGTATTCACACTGAGGAGAAAACCTGTGTATGTAAGCAGTGTGGGAAAGGTTTCAGCAAACAGAGTGAGTGTGAAACACATGAAAGAAGTCACACTGGGAAGAAATCCTATGTATGTAAGCAATGTGGGAAAGCTTTCAGCAGGCAAAGTGAATGTAAAATACATGAAAGATTTCACACTGGGGAGAAACCATATGTATGTAAGCACTGTGGGAAGGCTTTCAGCAGGCAGAATCCTTGTAAAATACATGAAAGAAGAATTCACTCTAAGGAGAAACCCTATGTATGTAAGCACTGTGGGAAAGCTTTCAGCTGGCAGAGTGAATGTAAACAACATGAAAAAAGAAGTCACTTTGGGGACAAACCCTTTGTGTGCAAACAATGTGGGAAAGCTTTCACCTGGCAGAGTGAATGCAAACAACATGAAAGAATTCACACTGGGGAGAAACCCTATGTATGTAAGCAATGTGGCAAATCTTTTAGCAGGCAGAGTGAATGTAAGATACATGAAAGAGTTCACACTGGGGAGAAACCCTATGTGTGTAAGCACTGTGGGAAAGCTTTCAGCAGAAGGAATGAATGTAAAATACATGAAAGAATTCACACTGGGGAGAAACCTTATGTGTGTAAGACATGTGGGAAAGCTTTCACCTGGCAGAGTGAATGTAAAATACATGAAAGAAATCACACTGGGGAGAAACCCTATGTATGTAAGCACTGTGGGAAAGCTTTCAGCAGACGGAATGAATGTAAACTACATGAAAGAATTCACACTGGGGAGAAACCCTATGTATGTAAGCATTGTGGGAAAGCTTTCAGCAGTCACCAGAAATGTAAAAAACATGAGAGAAAAATTCACTCTGGGGAGAAACCCTATGTATGTAAGCACTGTGGGAAAGCTTTCAGCACACATGATAGTTGTCAAATACATGAAAAAATTCACACTGGGGAGAAACCCTATGAATGTAAGCACTGTGGGAAAGGTTTCAGCTTTCAGAGTCAATGTAAAATACATGAAAGAATTCACACTGGGGAGAAACCCTATGTATGTAAGCAATGTGGGAAAGCTTTCAGACTGCATGGTACTTGTAAAATACATGAAAGAATTCACACTGGGGAGAAACCCTATGTATGTAAGCACTGTGGAAAAGCTTTCAGCTGGCAGGGTCAGTGTAAAATACACGAAAGAAGTCACACTGGGGAGAAACCCTATGTATGTAAGCATTGTGGGAAAGCTTTCAGCAGTCAGCAGAAATGTAAAATACATGAGAGAAAAATTCACTCTGGGGAGAAACCATATGTATGTAAGCACTGTGGGAAAGCTTTCAACACATATGTTAGATGTCAAATACATGAAAGAATTCACACTGGGGAGAAACCCTATGTATGTAAGCAATGTGGGAAAGCATTCAGCAAACACACTTCCTGTCAAATTCATGAAAGAATTCACACTGGGGAGAAACCCTATGTATGTAAGCAATGTGGGAAAGCTTACAACAGGTACAGTTATGGTAAAATACATGAAAGAAGTCACACTGGGGAGAAACCTTATGAATGTAAGCAATGTGGGAAAGCTTTCAGCAGGCAAAGTGAATGTAAAATACATGAAAGAATTCACACTGGAGAAAAACCCTATGTGTGTAAGCACTGTGGGAAAGCTTTCAGAACAAGTAGTAGTTGTCGTAAACATGAAAGAACTCACTAAGGAGAAACCCTATGCATGTAAGTAGTGTAGAAAAGGATTTGCTGCTAAGTCCTCATTTCACAGAGATAAAAAAATTTACGTTGGGGAAAAACTCTGAGTATGTAAACGATGTGAGAAAGTATATACATGTATTATCACATACATGAGAGAAGTTGCACTGGGGTGAAACTATATATGCAAGCCTATTTTGAAAATCCTGTGAGAATTTCTCATGTATTGGAGATCAGTAGAAGTAATTAATACAAAAACTTTATGTCAAAATCAAATTTTCCTGAGAACACAATCCCAGATGAAGATATCCTGAAGTACAAACATTGTGTTTTCCAGTAAATTAATTATGAATATGTATCTGTAGTGTTTAGTATAAAAATATTGAGTGATATAATTATATATTTTTGTGTCTTTGAACTTAATATGGTGTATTTTTTAATATAGTGTCTTTTAATTAAATTTGAAATGTATTTTTTATTTTCAAGTAGGATTAATTTGTAGTTTTTGTTTTGTCTACAATAGGGAGGCATAGGCCACTAAAAAACTTAATGTTAATTGTTTTTTGTAATTGCTGAGATTTTGCCCCTACTTCTGTTTTAAATTTTTAGTGTATATACTCCATATTCTGTGGGATGAAATCTACTTGATCATGATGTATAATCTTTTTGATGATATACTGCATTCTGTTTGCTAATGTCTTGTTGAAAATAATTGCATCTATGTTCATTAAGGAGATTTTCCTGTAGTTTTCTTTTTCAGTTGGGTCTTTGTCTGGGTTGGGGATCAGGGTGATACTGGTTTCCATAAATGAATATGGGAACACTCTATCCCTTTCAATTTCTTTGAACAGTTTGAGGAATGAATATTGGTGATATAACATCCGTAAAGGTTCTGTAGAATTCAGCAGTGAATCCATCAGGCCCTGGGCTATTCTTCGTTGGTAGATTCTTTATTACTGTAGCAATTTTATTGCTTGTTACTGGGTCTTTAGGCATATTTGTGCCTTTGGGGGTTAGTTTTGGTAATTTGTATGTATGTAGGAATCTGTCCATTTCTTCAAAATTTGCTAATTTTTTGAAATGTAATTTTTCAAAGTAGTTACTATCTTCTGGATTTCCATAGTATCTGTTTCACCTTTTTCGTTTCTAATTGCATTGATGTGAATCTTTTCTGTGTTTCTCTTGGTAAGTATGGCTAAGGGCTGGTCTTATTTATTGTTTTGAAAAACCAGCTCTTCAATGCATTGTGTTTTGTTTTGTTTTGTTTTACTTCTTTGGTCTCAATTTCATTGATACCTGCTCTCATTTTTACAGTTTGCCTCCTTAATTTTGGTTTGGGGCTGGTTTGTTGCAGTTTTCAAGTATCTTTAGATTTCCCATAAGGTTCTTTAGCTTAGCTTGCTCTGTCTTCCTAATGTGAGCATTAATTGCCATGAATTTTCCTTTCAGAACTGCTTTCATAGTGTCCCAGACGTTTTGGTGAATTGTAAAGTCATTGTCATTAACTCCTAGAAATTCTTTGATTTCTACTGTGACTCATTGGTTGTTTAGGATTATGTTAATTTTCCAGGAGCTTTTGCTTTTTCTGAAATTTCCTCTGGCACTGATTTCTATTATCATTGCCCAGTGAGTGATCTGATAGTATGGGGGTAATTTCAATTCTTTTTTATTTACAGTACTTAAGCAGTCATTGTGTACTATGATGTGATCTGTTTTGGAAAAAGTAGCATGTGGTGCTGAAGAACAGTGTTGTAGAGAGGTGGGATACTCTGTAAATATCTGTTAAGTTCATATATTCCATGAGGTGGTTCAGTTCTGATTTTTCATTCTTTCGTTGGTTTTTAGTTGACCTATCTCTTTGTGAAAGTATGGTGTTACGTTTGGTTATAACAGCATCAACAGATTCTATAGGATAGTTCTTGTAGTTGTGCTTCCCTGCTTTGTCTACTCTGTACACTAAAAATGTTTATTGTAATTGTTGTGGAGTGAGGTAGGTGAAGTGGAAGGAGCAGAATGGAAGGTGGTTAGATGACGAGTTTAAAACATTAAGGGGTAGGGGTTTTGTTGGGTGGGACAGTGATAGATGAGGAGAAAAGTTCAGTGTGGGGTCTGATTCTGTTAGAGTGCTTTTCATTAAGTTGAAGGGCTAGTACTGAGAGTTTTCAGAGGATATTTGTGAGGGACAAGTGTGAGATATGGGAGGAAGGAGATGTACTTTGTGATTGAGGCAAGCAGTGTGGTTGTCGGAAGCTGCTGGTAGGACAATAGGCTAGGTAAGGTATGGGAGAGCCAAAGGCTTATGATGGGGATGATTGAGGGTTAATACTAGAGAAGATAGGAATGACTGTGGGGGAGCTGAGTATGGGAAATTAAAAACTTGAGAGGAGGAATTTATGGATTTGGAAAAAGAATAAAGAAATATGGTACTAGTATTGCTTTGGGAATTTGAGGTTAAGAAGCTAGAGAGGAAGCTGAGACAATGGTGACAATAGAGCCAGTGAAAGAAAAAATTCAGTAAGTCTCCAATTATGAACATTTGAGTTGTGAACTTTCACAGGTTTACTGTATAAGACTCACTTTGTTGAACTTACAAATGAATCCTTCTCCCACAATGGAACTCATTCATAATTTGAGGACTTAGTGTATACAAAAGTAAAAAGCTAATACAAAGCCATAAAAGAACATAACATATCCATCCCACACTACTAAATAAATCAAGAAACAAAACTCAAATCTATAAGCTATCCAGTGGGAATACAGATTAAATATTCCAATGAGATATTGTCTATGTGATTTGCATGTAACTTTGCCAGAGAGCCTGATTGCTCACAACTCAGTAACTGAATCTTCCACTGCAATACTTAAGCTAACTCACACTCAGAAATTCTTTCTGCCAAGTTGCAGGCAGTCTTGCAGAGTCTGATCCAGTCCGAGTTCTTGGGTTAGGAACTCTTGCTGACCCTCTCCTTGGGTGTGATGGTGGCATTGGCAGATAGATGCGTTGGCACAAAATTGTCCCCTGAATCAGGAGTATTCCAATGCAGTTAAGTCAGCTACAGTAGTAACAATCAGTTATAGTGGTATGTATTGGGGCAAGTTGAGAACATATCATCAGACCCAATTTTCTATCTCCCTTTAGCTTAGAGAAGACATCTGTATTTATACTGAAAGCATTGTAACAGCCCAAGTATTGACCTACAACTAATATGCACTAAATGTGATACCTATGTCTCCTCTTATGGTTAAAAAGTGTTCAACACTAATTTTATTGAATCAGTTATCTAAAGCCCAGGGGCTTGGAGACCAGGTAATGGTGGGTGGAGAAGAAAAGAAAAAAAAGGTATTTTAAAAAATCCTTCTGCTACGTGGTATGGGAAAGAGAAAATAGAAGGGAGGCAAAGGATAGAGGTATGTCATATTATTTAGGTGAGGATAACAGGAGAAACTGGGTATAATATTGGAAGTGAGAAATGGGGATAAGAATGGATTCTATGACTAATATAAAAAAAAATTTAAAGGTAGACAAATGAAAATGGGAAGTAGAAAGAAAAGAAAAATAGAGAATGGTTAAGGAACAGTAAAAGAAATGTGAAAGGTTATGGATAAAGTAGAAGGAATAAAAAGGGACAGCCGAGAATTTACTTACCCTTTACAAACTGTATTGGACGGAAAAGGCAAGAGGAATAGAAACACACAGATACACACACACACACACACACACACACACACACAAAAGATAAGGAAGTAATGGAATAAAAATGAGGGGGGATGAATAGAAAGAGGGAAATGGGGAAAAAAAGTGTTCTATTATTTTGGATGCATGGGTCTTTTCCACAACCTAGGAATAAGGAGCAGAGCTCAAGCCAACCTGTGTCTCTGCTCATGCTGGAAGTCCAAGGTGGCAGTCCACCCCCAGAATGGTGCTGGATGCAGACATCCACATACAGTGGGGACAGGGCACCAATGTGACCTTCCAGTCCTGTGTAATTCAGGCCACATCTGGCCTCTGACCACATAAGCCAGGTCTATGTTCACCAGCTCCAGCCCCTCAGCAGGACTCCCTCCAACCTGCCTCCAACCACCAGCTAGCTGTCTCCCTTAGCTGGCCTTCCCTCATCCACTTTGGGAACTTGACAATGTGGAGCATGGCTTGGAGCCAAGGGGCTGCTCTGGGACCCAGGTTCAAACACAGCCCTTCCTTACAATGGCATCCCTCCAACTCTTACTTCACAATTGTGGCAGGTACTGGACTGAGGTCACTCACCAACTGTTGAGTGTGGGAAGCCACTCTGGAAGCAGTACCCCCACGTTTTCCTTGCAGGTTCCAACTGCCACTCATTCTCAGAGTCTCAGTACATTTCTCTCTTCCTTGTGGAATGTTCTACAGCTGTGTTCTTTGGGTTAGAATCTTCAAATCAGAATTCAGACATGGTCACCCCATTGTGTTTGGTTAACCCATCTCTTCCATCTTGTTCCATTTATGATAGGTACTCCTCTCTATTTCTAGTTCTCTAAGTCTCTCCAGTGTAGCTCCTCCTCCACTCAGCCATGTTGTATCTTTCAGATTCTTCCTTCTCAGATGTTTCCTTGGCTTCTATGATGTGACTTCTCTAGTCAGACATATTGAATACCCTATTTCAAACCTTTGCCTTGTCCAAGATCAGGGATGTCATTTGGCTGGAATTTCTGCTGTTCCTTGCAGAGGGAGAAAAAAACACAGAGCCTGCTCCAGGTTGGCAGTGACTGAGCCTAAGGCATGGAATCCACAGTTGTAGAGTTGTTTTAGGACCAGCCTGTGTGTCCATGCATTCTTCCTGGGCCATGAGTCGGTGTATTCCGCACTACTGGTTTTTAAAAACAGAACAAACCAATAGTTTTTCAGGAGAAAATTAAACTTGAAATACTAATGTGCAGACTATATTTTTTAAAACAACCTGGATAACATTTACTTTGTGTTAACAGTATCTGTCACAACATTTTTATTGTCAGTGTAAGAATCAGCAGGTTTATTAAATATTTTTTTCCAATTTCATAACACATGAAATCAGAGTCATCTACATTTCATGTTGCATGACTATAGCAAAGTGAGTGGGTATTTTTGAAGCAAAATGTGATACTTTAAATCAGAACAAACAATACAGTGATATTTTGTCTGATGTCAGTGTGAGGCCAGATCTTTTGGTCTGCTCTTGTCAGCCAACAGAAGCAATCCCTTAACAAGATGGACAATCAAAATCCCCTGAACACTCAACCAAACAATTCTGTGTTTCCATTTTCTATGATGGGCCTTGAAGTTCCTAAGCAGTGCCTCTGATACCAAAGAACCTGGAAACCATTATCGAAATGCATCAAAGGGAACATGGGCTTCTCTGGCAATGTGTGACTTGGGCAGAAAGCGAGCTGCCAGAGCAAACCCACTGCTGTCATTGCAACATTAGGTCTGCTCTAGGGGTTGGATTAAGGCATCTGTAAATGAGGATGCTGCTACTATTTGCCTTTGGAAGTCCAATTCGATGTTGTGTTGGCCATTTACAGAGTTGCATACCAAAACAAAACATCTTATTACCAGGTTCTTATAATCTAGGCATTCAGGTGGTCTGAGCACAATCTTCTGACAGCAGAGTTTAACACAAGAAAATTAAAACTTTGTTTTCTTCAAGTTCTATATTGTAAATATTTTCTTTCTAAAAGGATGTGATAACTAGTTGAGTCCAAGCAATAGATCAAGTAGTCTGCTGTACTACTTGCATAGAAATGCCACTTAGATTAATTGCATATTATCAGTTCATTAATAAGTTAGTGTTATACCATTTTCCCTAAAAGAAAAATATTTTTTCCATATCTTTGGTGAAAATAAAGAAATTCTGTATAAGGAGAGCATTTAGCAAAAACCTATTTTAAAAAAGAGACCAATTTTTTAGGTACATTGGAACATCCATTTAAAATTAATATAATAATTCCTTATAATTATATCATATATACTTATACATAATTTGAATATATTTACATATATCCAGCACCTATATATTGCATTTGTTCTGTGTGGTGACATATATTTTCTCCAATTATTACAAAATTAACAAGGAGGGCAGAAGGTGTATCTTCTTTGAGTCTGACTGGAGCACAGCCAGTAACCATAGAAGGTTAGCGTGGTGGCATGGTGGCTTGTGGCTGTCCATTGCTCCAGAAATAACCTCCTGGTGAAGATGGCAAGATTCCTACTGTATAAATCTTTCCACTTGTGCTCGTTACTGTTCCAATTATTTATTCTTCTGATCCATATATACAACCAGAGACAAAAAGCTCTTGAAGGCATGGCCTCCTAGCTCAGTGTAGGCAGGTTCTTGGCACTGTCCTTTCTTTGAGGACAGGAAGACACATTTATGTTTTAGCACTGCCATTTATGTGTGGACACTGAAGCAGTCAGGATTCACAAGGCCTGGGGTCCAGAGAAAACACAGGGTCCTCTCTTAAATATCAAGAATTTTTTGTGTCAAGGATACTAAGTGAGTACTGTTCCAGAGGCTGACTGAGGTACAAGCATTCCTCATCAATTGTGAGAATACACATTCCCTGATAAGGCTCCAGGCTGGTTTTGTACCTTATAGCCACCAAAGCTATGTCCCTGCTTAAATTCCTTCCCATTTTTCAGTCACTTCATCGATGGAGTTGTATTCCCTCCAGCTGGACAGAGGAACTTGACAGTGTTGGCCATAGGGACAGCATGTAGCCACTTTTCCATCTTTTGTGTGTTGGGCCGGTACAGTGCTCTCTTGTTACTGTTCTCACTGACAAAATCTTAGGAGCCATCTGTGTTGTCCTCTTCATCTCCGGATGAGATGGCATATATGATATTCACCATAAAGTACCAAGTTGCACTTTCCACAGTCCCAGAGGCAGTGTGAGCATAGAGGTCAGAATCTCTAGGTGTGGCACCTTTTATTGCAAGTATTCCTCAATAAGCATGGTCCTGTGTTGGGCCTCGTACCCATCTTTTGCCCAAGTGATCATGGTGGCATCTTTCACCAGGCAGCACAATCCTACGTGCTCCACTGGCAAAGCAAAAAACTTCCTGTTGAGAAATTTGGTATTTGGTTGGGGGCCCTTAGGGCTCTAATGTGGTATCCTCAGGTAGACTGAAGGAGGGCCAGGCTAGGGATATTGTTGCCATGGTGATCACGACTGGGCAGAAGCAGCATCCCCAGGTGACCATAGTTAAGGGGTCAATCTCAGTCCTCTTCCATATTTCCATGTGGACGATAATCCCATCTACATATTTCCTCTGCAAGTGTGGACTGACTACAGTGCCTTCAGCACCAGGAGGTCTCAAGACTAGGAGGGCACGGTGGAGGGCTGGGCTGGTTGCTGGACTTGCTGCCGCAGCCTCTTGAATGCCACTGCTCCTCCGTAATCTGCATCTGTAGGGTCCCAGAGACTGGCATGGATCCAGGTGGAGCAAGTGACAAGCTCAGGAGGAAACTCTGGTGCTTGGATCCTGGCCTGCACAAAGGCTCCAAGGCTTCCTATGTGCCCAGGCTGCAAGGGTAATGAGGGCCTGATGGCATGGGTAGTCCTCAGATTTGAAGAGCCAGAGGAATAAAGAACTCACACTTGGTACTTCCTCTTCCAAATTTTGCTTGCAAGTCACAAACTGAGAGCAATCCAAAGAGCTGTGGCCCTGCTGCCCCTGCCATCCCAGAGAGGAGTTGATGTGCCCAGCAAGAAGCAGGCAGCCTCATAGAGCCCAGCTTTGTGGTTGTGGCTTGCACTCCTTCCCCAGCTGCTCCACACTGGCTCCCTCCAGCTTGGCTCTCTGCTGTGCTCTCCCTGCCACCTGCACTGCTGCTTCCAGACTACAATGTTAACAGTGAGCAGTCTTGAGTTTTCAAGTCCTTGTCAACAATTTTGCACACAGAGAAGAGCAAGAACAGGCCCAGGATTCCCTTCTGGACACCTCTGCCAGGGAACACGATACTGGTGAGAATGAAGCACTGCATGCTGAGCCCAAGGAAGTATGGGGTGACCTTCCTGAGATCAGCGGGGCAGGGTGGTCTCCTGGAGTGGTATTTTAGGAAAACATCTGTGTGGCTGCTTCCTGAGGCTTTGCTCAGAGAGGTTCTAAACAGTCAAATTGGAGTTTAGGGTATGGGCCCCCAGCCAATCTGGAGGGACATGTGTTTGGCAGAGCAACCAAGGAGGAAGGCATAAGGCAGAGTGCTGAGCTGTCAGGATAAAGAAGGCTGAGCATAGGGTTCCTGGAGGTCACCAGAGACACCCCAGCCTCTGGAAGCACAGGCCGACACTGGAGGTGTGGGCTAGGCACTGCACAGTGGACATGGGAGGATGGAGCATGGGAACCACTGCTGAGGGCTTTCACAACCCACTGTTGTGATGAGCAAACAGAGCTTCCAATGCCAGAGGGCAGCTGCGTAGCTCCGGGCCTAGGCCTCGGCTTCTACTCTCTGTGTTTATTATAGTTCATGGACCTCTCTAGGCTTTCCCAAAAGTGAGACACATAGAACAGTTGCTACTTCTCCAAAGTCATGGATATCCCCTTCCCCACCGAGGCCACCCCTCTGAGTGCCTCAGCCTAGACTCAGAGAGATAGGACTGGGCACTCTGCAAACAGACACCTGCGCTGTCCTCACCTAATGCCCCTCATGGTCGCCCCTTGGGCCCCATGGGCTATTCGGGGGCCCTCTCTTGTTTTGCCTCTGCTCAGCTGCCTTACAAGACCTTGGTGTCTCTCCTATAACTCCATGCCCTCCACTCCTTACAGGGACTTACTATCTGTACCTGCCAAGGGGCCCGCCCACTCAGGCAGGTAAAGAAAGAGGAGCCAGGGTGGAGTTCTGTTCCCAAGGAGTGAGGGGCATCGTGAGGGATCAGCATGCACAATGTGGTCACTGGGGCCTCACCCACAGTGTTCCTGCACCATAGTTCAGGAGTTCCCTGAGTGACTTCATCTTTTAAGCAAGCACCTGGAGCTAGTACTATGTGGGGTGGGGGATGCATGACCCCTTTAAGATACCTCACCTTGCCCACGATGCCAGGCCTGAGACCGTGCTCTGCAAGTGGCCCCACAGTACCTGCCCCTGGAATGCAGAGAACACATGGAAAGAGAGACCCAAAAACATAGAGGAGGCTTGACCTGGCAGCAAAGTGGAACACACAGAGAGCAGGGTTGGGGAGGGGGCCCCAGGTTCAGGACCAGGGTAAGAAAGCTACTGTCCCTCTTGCTGGAGAGGGAAGACAGATCAGGTCAGTTTAGGGTTTAGTCTACTGTTTAGGCTTAGTGATGGGATGGGAAGTTTGGGAAAAGGGTTTTGGATTAGGGTTATGACTTAATGAGGGGATAGAGTTAAATGTTAGTGTTAGAGTTCAGGGTTCGGGATTATGGTTATGGTTTAAGTTAGGGTTTGGGTTAGAGGGTTAGGGTTAAGTTTAAAGGTTAGTGAAGAGGTACAGGTAGAGTTAAGGTTAGGGTTAGACAGGGTTAGGATTAGGTTTAGGCTTCCTGATAGGGTATTAGAGTTAGGGTTGTGGTTATGGTTAGTGTGGTGGTTATTCTTGGGGTTAGTGGTAGAGTTTAGGGTTAGTGTTAGTTAGGGTTTAGAGTTTGGTTAAATTTGGGGTTAGGGTAAGAGATAAGGGTTAGGTTAGGGTTAGGGATTACAGATAGAGTTTGTGTTAATGTTATTGTTTAGAGGTTAGGGGCTAGTCCTACCAGTGGTCCATACAGAGGGATTCATGAAAACATTCTCAGTAGGTATGTCCAGCCACGAGCCTACTTGTGGGGCAGTTGTGGCTTGCCCAGGCATCCAGTGCTGATGGTCAGTGTCTCTTTCTCAGAGGGCAGCCTGGAAACACTGTCATCAGGGGTTCCAGTGATACAACCCACTGGACACCAGGCTGCGTGGCTCTTAAATTGCATCCCTAGATGCCCATAGAATCCTTTTCAAGAAGGGAATTGGAAACATTGTGGGAGGACAGACCCAACCATGAAATTGGCCATTCTCCAAACATTATGTCCATTCATGACTTCATGGAACTTCTTTCGCTGTAGGAAAAAAGATAAAAAGACCCTCCAAAAAAGATGCTTTGACATTTACATAACTATAGATTATGTTTTTGGCCTAGATGTTGGCATGGAGATAGGGTACAAATTAACATTATGTGATCAGGGAGGGCTTTCCAGAGGAGGTGATATAATTATTAGTCCTGGCAAGAGCTGGAAAACTAGGGAGAAGAAAGGACAAACTTCATGCAGTGACTTCAAGTTGCCCAGGAACTTAATGCATCACAGAGCTTGCCAGTTCTAGTAATATCAAGTCCTTTGATCCCAGTCAACCTATAAAAAGGAATAACTGTTTGCTTTATCCTCAATAATTTTAGTTCCATGTTTAGTACAGAATTTAGTGTGGAATTGGGATGGAAAATCCTACCTTGTTTCAGTTACAAATTTTTCCTACCATTATTTTAACTAACAACTATGCCATGGACAAAAAGTATAAAACATTCATTTAACATTTATTTATCAAGTGTTTCTGTATGTTTTGTTCTAGTCTAGGCATGGTCAGAGTTAAAAAGCCATAATTATAAATACATGTTGTTTATGTACAATCTTA